TGTCTTTATGTATTAATAACATAGCCTAGTCCTGCCAAGTTACTGATATACCAGTAAACATTAAGTGTTGGGGACTATCCGAGCCTATAACATACTGATTGGAAGTCAGTTGTTTAAACCATTAACTACTGTATCATGTACAATATGTAATAATCATATACTAACTGAAAACATCATATACAGTCCAAGTGCATTCGATTTTGTTTTTACTTTAAGATAACTAACAAACAATTTGTTATATCAGTTATCACTCAATCATTTTACTTATACATGATGTTTACATAGTGTGTATTGTATATTGGTTTTTTCTGTTTTTAGCTACACTTCCATATCATCTTATAAATGTGATTGTTTTACTTTTAATCAAATCTATTCTACTATACTGTTAATTGTGAAACTTGTAATCTTATTAACATCAGTTTTTTTTTTATATTCTGCTAAGTGTTAACATTGATACCTTATAATCATTCAATTGAAAGTTGTTATGCACAAATGAAATTAATCAGTAAAGAAATGTATATGGAAATAAAAACAATTATCATATAAGAAAGACTAGCTATTACCATTTCACAAATGAATATAAATGGTAACTAATCATTGTTTAAAGGAAATTTTAAAATAAAATATCATGAATTCATTTATTTCATGGATTCTCCTCCGTTGTTTATAGTCTAGAACCAAAGTATTAATCATGAAAAAGAAATAACTTTACAGATTTTATATCAGAACCATCTAGAATAAACTGAATTAAAATGTGAAGACAGAACAACTATAATTGTTCAAATATTTATCGATTAAATATTTGAATATTGTAGAAAAGCGTAGAGACAGTAGATTATGTAATATAGACTAGTTTACTTAAGCTCAGAAGTAAATATAAGCATACTAGAATTTTGATTACATTTTATGAAAAAATGAAAACAAAGTCCTACATAATATTTTTTTGATTGAGATCATGAACCGATTGATGTTATACCACCTGGAATCACTGGACGGCCGTTTCGTCCTATCGTGGGACTCCTCAACAGTGCACATCCACGATCCCGCTCGCAGAATTCGAACTCAGAGTCTTCGGTCTTGCTCGCGAACACTTAACCTACTGAGCTACTGAGCTGGCATCCAATGGTGATAGTGTCTAACATCAACCAATCCACGAAATTGCGCGACCATCTTCCATTGTAATGAGATAGATACCTGTCCCTACCCGACATAGATTAGCTCCACTGGTCACATAATAATCTCACAGAAATAAAATCATCAGGGTAAAATATGATATCTAATTGTTTCTTTATGGATACATGAATTCGGTTTAAATTGTTTGATTGTAATGGATTCGGTAAAGTGTAACAGTTTGGGATTCCTTTGTTTATTGATTATTTTGAAAGATTTCACAATTTACACACAACACAAATAGGAAAAGTTGTATAACACATTTCAATTGTTTTTTCTTTAATAGTTACTAGTTAAGTACTTAGGAATTAAAGAATTTCGCATAGTTTGTACGGGAAATTCTTAACTGTATTTAAACATACATGGTGTTGAATAGGGAGAGTTTTATTATTTTTTTAATCATTTAAAGGATTAAAATGGAAAATAAATGAAATCCATGAAATAGGTTTTGATTAATTGCAATAAAGATTCAAAGACATTTTTCAAATTAACTATGTGTGAAGAAATAATATCATTTCTACTCTTAGATCATTGACTTATCGAGTGTAAATTATAATAAAATTTTATCCATTTTTTAGAAGTTGTTAACAAACAAGCCTATGTGAATCAGATAGAATGGACAACTAATACTATAGAGAAGTAAGAAACTAAAAAACTTTGGAAAATTGCAAAATACCGAAATTGTATTGAAACTACTTTTTATATAGTGACAGCTATGACCTTGTAACTTAATAAAACTAAAAAACTAAAAGCGAAAGTAACCAATCAGGTTACACAGAAAGAGGTCAATGAGATGGCGTAGTTTCGAAAAGGCCATCAAGGACCTTCTTGTATTATTAATTAATTGGGAGGTAGAAAAGTAGGTCATTTGAGACTTTACCAATACTGATATCAATCCCGCTCCAAGACAATCCAATATATTAACTTTTTAAAATATAAAATCCCATGTCTTATCTAAGTAAATAATGTAGTATGATGTTTACTCTTAAGAAAAACTATTACTACCGAAGCCAACACTTATTGATTCCTAACCTGTGTCACATAGATACGATAATATATGCACACAAAAACATTAATTAGTTAGAAGCAGTCACTGAGATATTGATGTTGTGATCCATAACAACAATCCACAGACTTAATGATAACTGATACTCTGCCTTTTTCAGTGTCCCGAACAATATAGTGAACGAGAAATCAGGTGGGGAAGAACAATTTATTGTTTAATGAACAATCACACAGTGCTTTAGTAAAACGTGAAAATCGTCCATCAAATACATAATCTGCATATCTTTCACAATTGATTGATCACTGGGTGGTGATCAATCTCATGCTTGTCTAGTCCTTATTAGTGCAGATCGAATGCTATCGATCATGTTGCAATGTGGCCACCAGTCTAGGTGACTCGACACTGCGGGCACTATGTAATGAGATTAGATGGTGGTCTTTGCATCCATCATGATTCTTCCAATTCTGCTTTAGTTCCAATTCCTTTCTGTTCTCTTCAGTTTAATCTTCTTTTGACAAGCATCCCACTTCCCATTGATGTTACATACTACTGATGTCTGTCGACATGAGTAGCACAAATCACAATGTCATTATTTATTGTTTCATTCAGGTCGTGGATGCGCACTGCTGAGGAGTCGCACAATAGGACGAAACGGCCATCTAGTGCTTCCAGGTTTTCCATGGTGGTCTAGCTTCAATTGACTTATGATCTCAACCACTGGAATTACTATAATATCCACAAAACGCTTCTGATATGAATCATTTAGATATATTTTCACATTTCTATTAAATCAGTATCCTAGTTCACTAAAGTTATAATGATAATACCCTTATAAACAATATATAGAATTTGAAATTACTTCGGTAATAAACTATGTTTGGACTGTTTGATCTGATTCTCTATGATTGTTTTTATATACGTTTAATATTAAACTGCGAAATCTAACCTATTTTATAAATGTTAGTGAAACTGATTAACAATTCATATCATAGACTTGAGTTCTAACGAAATAAATAAATTTAAGTTTTTGAAATCTGTAATGAAATAAACTTAATAGTCAGTTGATTATCGTATAGCGTTCACATTTGATAGTTTCTTCTATCTACACTTTGACAGTACATATAAACTGATAAATTTCTATTGGAAAACAATATGAAATTATGTTAAGTTGTGAATTTTCAACAAAAAAACTATTCAACCAGAGCTGAGACTATTATTATTATTATCATTGCCATCATCATTATTATATATATATATATATAAAGTCTAACTTATTATTATTACTAATGTTTTACTCAATGAAATGGTATTACTATCTCTATAATCCATTTCAATACCCTAAAAGTAGTTAGTAAGTTAGAAGCAAGCTATTGAATAATAATTTGTTGTTGTTGTTTTCATGAGAATTTTTGTTTCATCCCTGTTAAACGTGGTGGGATTTCTGTTATCCCTTTTCTTTTTGTTCAAAACATTTTGTAAGAGAAGTAATAATCCTAAAAAACAAAATGGATTTTTAAAAAAAGGTAACAAATAGTCTATGATACATAAAGCAACAAAGATAAGTTCTATTCAAATGCTCTAATCCACTTAAATTACAATTTATACTATGAGAAAATTAGTAGATTGTTATGTGTTTCCATATTGGTGTTTTGTGAATAATTTGTTCTTGTTGTCGATGTTGTTATTGTTGTTGTGGTTGAAAAATTCCAATACTTCAACTTTCAGATTATAATCCTTATACACATTGCTCTTTTTTTCCGCTTCTTCTTCCTCTTCATTGTTTTGCTGATAGAAATGATACTTTTCTTGTTGTTTCTCTATTTTTCATATATAAGTTGACAAAAAAAGAAGTGACTATTTAAATTTAAACATTAATCCGTTTAGGGAATATCATCATTAATCTAAGTTGCAGTTAAATCTTTGAGCAAGTTTTTTTTAGAAAAAAACGGTTGAATGTAAAATAGAATATGTTTGAAATCTACTTTCTTAATACTTACGTAATCATTTTAGTAATGTGCATAAAAATATTAAGATCAAGGTATTACATTCGATGTGATCAGGTTGTTAATAATTTTCTATTGAATATTGATTGATCTCTGAATGGTAACGATTGATATAGCTATTTATTCCATAGACATAATTGAATTCTATCAAGCTAAAATGTGGCTATTGGTCTAAATGATTCAACATCATTTATGCTAAGTTATTTGATGGCTATCAGTGAGAAGCTATGTATTTTGAGGGCTGATGGTTTTACATTAAATTAATCATCGGAGGTATGTGGTGGTACAAATAGTCTAGTGGGATTAGTGAAAATGAACGACCAGGGTTTATATTTCACGATAAGCATCAGTTTTTTCAAAGCAGCAGTGACCTCTTGTTGATATCTTTCATTTAACACAAAACCTAGTTTTAGGATTTTCTGTTAATAGCCTACAGTCATTATGGGATTAAAATGAGCACTGGTAAACAGTCTTATACAATCCTTTCTGATTTTCAATGGTTTTCTTTAATGAATTCCAGTCTTCGGTTTATAAGTCAATAAATTTAAATAAGTGACTTTATAGTTCTAAATCTCGACAGTAAATCTCAACATTTTAGAAATAAATTCATGACATAATACAGATATTTTGATCGATTCATGTTAACACTGACAAATTAGTGTTTATTTGAGTAGAAGATTTAGGAATTAAGTAGTATTCATGATTCTATTATGTTTAAATCTTTTTTTTCTATGATAACAACAGTTTGAATTATATACTTACTATTGATTTCTCTTTTTTTGTGTTTTTTTCCCGAAAACAATAAAAAATGTATTTTTTAGATATACTCTACAATGTGTCCTTCCATTGAATATGTTCCTAGAGAAAATTTACATATTTCTATGGTTTTGGCATTGTTTAGTTGGTATAATTACATTGAGTAGTTTTATTATTTGGTTCTATCGTATGGGATCATCAAAATGTCGTATCAAATTCATTCGAAAATATTTAAAAATTATGTCAGTTATGCGTGATACAGATAAAGCGGCAACTAGTAAATTTGTTGAAAATTATTTACGTCCAGATGGTGTTTTTTTAATACGTTTAATATCAATAAATGTTGGTGATTTAATGGCTGGTGATTTAACTTGTGAATTATGGCATATTTATCGACATAAACGTTTACATGAAACTATGGAAGAACAAAAATATCTTGATGCATTTAGTAATACACCAGGTGATTATTTGATTAATAATAATAATAATAACAATAACAATAATAATGGTTCCAGTTATATTGGTGAAACAAATGATTTAATATTAGGCACAACTATACCATCTTCAAGATATTCAAATAAAAATCATTCACCAACTGCACCACCTAGTCAAAATGCAATCATTAGTACAACTTCAAATGTTACAGTATCTGGAACAAATATCAATAATACAATGAATCATAGTTCTAGTAATAATGATGATAGTATTGTTTAATTGTATCCATTGCATCATATATATATTTTTTCTTTAACAAGCGATCAATAATTTGTAAAATGATGAATACTTATTACATATATATAATTCTGTATATGCACACTAACATTTATCGCTTGTTTATATACATATAGTTAGCATTTTCTTACGTCATTTATCGATTATTTACGTTATATCTATCAATTTTTAAATCAATAATTTGAACAGGTGCATTTCTAAAATGAATATCGATTATCATTATTATTATTATCATTATTATTACTATTATTATTATTATTATTATTAATAGACTACACGTGTTATTTTCATTTCACTAATAAGAGAATTTAAACTATTGATTTATTTTAAAAATTTAAATTTATTCAGTTAGTGATTAGTTGTTTGCCATTTTTTTTGTTGTTTTGAAAAAAATCAATAAATGAGTAACTAAATAAGTAAATAGTATTGTAAACATTGATGATAAACATGGCTGTGTTGTTTATATTTACAATACTAAAAAGGGATCAGGTTAAATTATATTTATCATACTATTTAATATCTTATTGTGTAATATAAATATTATTTTATCATGTAAACTATATATTCAATCATATTTACTAGTTTAATCAATTAGAAACAAAACTACTTAATATTAGTAGTAAATATATGTAAAGGAATTTAGTTTTCTAAAGAAAAAAGAAACAAAAATAGTTGCATTTTTGTTTGTTGTTTCTTTTTTTCCTCTTCATTGAATAACAAGTGTCATATTATTTATTCATTTGAAGTTTGATTTTATTCTCTTGAAATTTTTTGATCATTTTGCCTGTGAAGTTGTATATTGAGAAAAATTATGTGTAAAAAATTACATTGAATTTTATAAATGAAGAATGTCGGTAACAAGTGTGAATTGATGATAGTGATGGTAAGAATTTACATCTTTTTAAGTAAAACATATAATCAATATTAACATGGAATTCATTTTTGATGTAGGCATCTTATCTATTCTAATTTTAATCCAGTTCTTTTACATTAGAGAAAGAGTTTGGTGTCAAATAATATAGGTGAACATGCACATTCTTTATTTATATACATATATATATGAAGCGTTTCGTACATGCTATATGTACATTTCTTTTTCATAATGGAAACTCATAAAGTTCACAATGTTAATTTGTATAATGAAACTGATCAGGTGAATAAACACATGTAACTCATTCCTGTTTTACTCTTTGCACATCATTTTTATGGTTTCTCATTACTTTTTTTGTTAAAATGTAATTACATTATATGTAAAACAAAACTCATTCTCATTCAAAAATCTAGTCCTGATTTGACAAAAATTTTATTGTTAGTACAAATGAACTATACATATAACGTAAACAAAGTTTTTTTTTGCTTTTCCACAAAAAAAAATCACACACACGTATACATTTACATGTACACATATAACCATTAAATCCCGGATAAATATAGAGTTTAAAACCAAAGAAATCTATTTCATTCTATATGCATTTATGTATTACAAATTATAAGGGTACCAAAAATACAATGATCAATTAACGAAATAAGTAGAATATCATAAAACTCTACCAGAGGAAAATAGCATGTTTACTGAGAAAGGCAGAAAGACTATCTACTGTTTTATGTAAACAATTCGTTCTCATTAATCATTCATTTCTGTTTACAATGAATTTATACATATATAAATTAATTGAAGAAAACAATTCATTCAATTTGTATACAATGTTTGAAGCAAGCAACCAATTAATCAGTCATTCATCAGTTCAGTTGTCCTTGATTATGTCTTCTCTTCAGATATCTTTTCTTGTTACTCTGTATGTTATTTTCTTACTTTTAATTGTTTCTTCCCACCTCTACAACAGTCAATATCATTAACACATCATTATTAATGAAATCGAAAAAAATACAACTAGTGGTGGAAAAGAGAAATGTCTTGCGTTTGTGACTACTCTCTCTCTCTCTCTCTTTCTCTTTATATTTTTGTTTATTTTCTATATCTATATACATACAGAGTTATATGAAATGAATACAAACATTTATCCGTAAAACTACAAAATACCTATACAATAAAGGCAAAATGAAAACACTGTTTAGTTGAGCGTAAAAGTAAAACCATTTTCGTGATTCTTTGAATGAAAACAACTAAGACAACAACAACAAAAACTGGAAGTTAATTTATCTGGAATGGGATACTGAATGAAAAAATATATATTTATATTATAAATAAATATCCAAACGCTTTTTTTTAAAAAATGTAAAGTCTTGATACAATTTATTGATCAATCAACTGATCCATTGATCAATCAGACATAGAAAACATACTCACTCACTCACTCAATCACTCATTCACTCACCCACCCAATCACTGACATATGGTGCACATTATTTAAGACTGAGTATAAGATTTTTTTAGAAAAAAATATTCCATATATATATATATATATCCATATGTTTACTATGATTAATATTTGCCTAAAGTCAAATACAATTTACAGAAAAATATAAAAAAATTTAGTACTATCAATGTTCTTTTATTTTGTTCAATGTGTTCAATTCAGTTCTCTACCTTTTTTTTGAAAATGTATCTCATATTTTATATATACAGAGAAAATTGAAAATAGGAATTAGCTATTATTTGTTGCCAGATCTAATACAAATGTGTACAATCTTAAGTTTTGAACAGTGTGGTAAATGGGAACATCAATGGAGACAACTAATTGGTATTTTAATACAATATAACAGAATAACTTGGTAAAATCTAAGAATCATATAGTAAATACTTCATTTGCAAAATATCCATCAGTTGTCTTAGATTTTCTGTTCTCGTTCTCTTCTCTTTGGTTTTCTCAACCTTCTGTCGCTAAGCATTCTACTTACAATTGATGATCCATACTACTTATATCTGTCAACATCAGTAGCACATATCACAATAGTACACATTAATATACAAAGAAGAAAAATACTTAGAATATGAGGAATGAACGTAGGGGGGGAAATAGTGAATGAGGCTGATAAATAACAATCGTGAAACAGTGACAAAAGTTACAGAAAGAACTCAGGATATAGAATAAGATGATGGAAATGATTAAATTGATCTGAACAAGTACAACCGATTTTGATCTTTCACCATTAAATACAATTATTGCAGAAAGTCTAATCATAAAGTTTATACCTCTTGATATATACTATATTCAACAGTTATTGTCCTGATCATCTGATATCATATTCTGGCTTGGCTCAATTTTTTCCAGTCTACTTCTTTGTTGACCATATTTTTATTAATGACATTTTGTATCAAGTCCCTATTCTTTGTTCAAGTAGATTTAAAAACCAAACAAATCATGTAACTGTTGGAGAGTTCCAACGTATTGCTCAAAAATGTCCGTAAAGGCTTAGAAAAGGCTTGAAAACACTCGATCTAATCAGCGTTGAATGGAAAGTTCCCAGAAACATTTAGAAATTGGAGTCACGTTACGTTTCTGTTTACATATTTACCTAGACTTCTATATTTAGTGTGGTTCCAGCAATTTCTAGAATTCGAATTGTGTATAACTCTATAAATCATAAACTAACCTTAAAGTCAAAGGTTTTTTTACATAACTCTCGCCTTCTCTCTTACGTTATATTTGATGTAATTAAGAGCGACCAGGAAATTAGATCGAGCGTTCGGGTAGATTTGAAGACCAGAAAAATCATGTAATATTTAAATTATTTTGGTGTTATTAGTTATTTTATACATACTCGTAGGTTAAACTACGAATTTTAACGTACATTTTCATAAGTTTGTGTTTGTGAGTACCTGTATTATCCACTTATTTCATTAACTGTTTTGACCTGTATAAATTGGGTCACTTATTCATATGCTGATTGATTTCTCCGATCAACCCAAATACGTGAGATTTGATTGGAGTCAAGTTCACGTTATATCTGTTTATTCATTCTTAAGGGTATTTTGTTGATCGATATGCATGAAATACGACATTTCTCAATGAATTTCTTTTGAGAATTCTTAATATCTAATTTATAAGGTAAGGATGGTCACAACTGTTCAAGTCTAAGTAATGTATATGAATTAAAATCCCAGAAATCGATTAATTAGTGTTAGGTAAAATTATTAGGGAGTGACTGTACATATGCAACAAATGTCTCAGCTAGATCATTCCAAATCACATCCTCAAACATGATGTATATTTATATATATAGGCAATTACATTAAGTGATGGTAAAGAGCCCTGATCGATCATTTGGTATAATAATAAAATAAGTCTTCATTTTCAAGATTATACAGAACTTTCACTAATCAGTTTACTCTTTAATTGGATATTATTCATAGACTGAGATTAAAAACCAAGGAGAAATTGAAAGATTCTTTGTCATAATATAAGATTATAAGCAACGATTGATTATGACCTCAACGGAAATTGAACTCAGAACTTACACATTGTTTGATCAGTACTTAGCCATTAAACACAATTGAATTATCATTCAACTATGTATATTCTCAACTTCATTCAACATAATTTTCATTTCACATTGATACATTTAACGTAAGTTAATGTTGTAATAATCTTACTGAACCATTTCCAGATAAAATCAAAACGTTATTATTATTATTATTATTATTATTATTATTATTATTATTATTATTATTATTATTATTATTATTATTATTAGCACTGTTTCTATTCACAGCAGAACAACTGACATACATTTTCAACGTCAATACAAAAACATAAATTGTCATATCTATCAGATAATACATTCAATAAATTTACTTGACATGAACAAGTAACAAGTAAAGAAAAGAATTAACTAGGAAATAAAACATAAAAGGAAATACGTCGTGAAAATATGTATCTATGAAAGAAGTATTTCTCTTTCTTTTTTTCCTGGGATGTTTTGAAATAACAATATCCAATATTTTTGATTGCTTTAAAACGAATACTGAATGGTATTATATTCAATTTACGGAAATGTTATTAGTGATATAACTAAATCAA